CTTAAATGTTATCAATTTAATACACCTAAGTACTCAATGAAGACTAAACTTAACAAAAAATCGTATGTAAAATAGTACAGTAGAAGCCGTTCTTAAGGTTAAGCCTTAATCCTTTCCCTCTCCCCCCGCCGGGGAATTTCAAAAATCACTTCTTAATGTGCGTTTTCATGACATACCCTAACTGTGTACAAAATTTCACCTCTAGGTTCAACGGTTTGCTCTGGGCGATGATGAATCAATCAATCACCCAGTCAGTTCAGTCAGTCAGGACAAGTAATTTTATATATTTAGATTATCATTATTATTGTCATTGTTATAAAATCATCTTTATATATAAAAATTATTATTAAAATAGATTTTTTTATAAATATAACTTTCATAAATTCATCTATTTCTGAATTATTTATTACTGATTTGTAAAATTATATGATAAGTTCTTTAAGAAAATACAGTATTTAAAATAGTTTTTGCATAATTTTTAAATAATATTAAAAAATTTAGTTTTAAATTCTTCAAAATTTATTTTAGAAAAATTTAACCAGAACAAAAATATATTATATTTTATATGTAAAACACAACTAACAGTAAATTTTCTTGTTATTTAACATTTAATTTTTTATAATTAATTTCATGAAAAAATAATGATCGCTTGGAGTATTACTTAAATTAAAAAAAATTAATTTAAAAGGCTGAGAGTAACTGAACTGCCATTAATTCAGTCAGAATTTAATAAAATTAAGATGTTAAAGCAGTTTTTATTTTTTTATTAATATAAAAAATGAAATAAATTTAAACAAAAATAAATGCAAATAATATTTATAAAATTAACTGTTAATTTAATAAATATTTTTATTAAAACCTTTAAACTTTCACAAACATTTTTAGTTTTATTTTAGTTGGTAAGTTAAAAAATATAATCCATTTTTCAGTTCAGATATTAGAAATATTTTAAGTTTTTAGTTGTTCTTTTAAGATTTGGAAGTTAAAAGTATGAATTACATAATAAAAAAATAAATATATTTATTAAAATGCTATTATTTTAAACATGATAAATTATGTCAATAACCTGATAGCTATGAAACAATAAATATAAAATTCTAAAGCAAATAATGTTATAACTACCATTTTTTTCTATGCAATACATTGTTCGCAGTAGTAATGAGAAAATAATCTAATTCAAGTTAAAATTTTAATAATCTAATAAATATAATCAACATTATAAGGAAATTAAAACGTATGTATTTAATCAGATGTATTTTGCTAATTATAAGTTAATCTATATGCTAATTATATATCTTATAATTAGTACAGACTCAGTAATGTGCATGGAATTGTGAAATAGGAAATGTATGCAACAAAATGAAGTTTTGAATTCAAATATTACTATTTTAAATACAACTACTAATAAAAAGTAACAAGTTTCAAGATGAGAATTAATTTAAAAAAAAGAAAAAATTAATAATAATATTGGAATTTAAGCATTAAAATATTTTTTGTATATAATATCAATTACTTTAGAAGACATATAATAATAATAATCAAATAATTGCTAATTATAATTACATAATTACAATACTTTTCTAATATATATTAGAAAAGTAATTATGTATTTGATTATTTATTTAATGTTTTCATTTATCTGAACTATTTTATAATCATACTAGCTGTTACCTGCAACTTCGTCCGCGGAGGTTTTGCAAGCAAACCCCATTTACATTCAATATTTCAATAACCATAGTAATTGTCATACAACACCTACCGCTGAAGAGAATTGCCGAGAATCAAACGAACTATCTTCAATTTGATCAATTTTCTGGAACGTTTACAATCGTTCTATAATCGAACCAATATGCAATAACAAATTCGAATTTAAAACGGATCGAACATTTTTAAAATCGAAATGTCTGAAATGTTATCAATTTAATACACCTAAGTACTCAATGAAGACTAAACGTAGTTGAAAACAAAAAATCGTATCTAAAATAGTACAGTAGAAGCCGTTTTTCGTGTTAAGCCTTAATCCTCTTCCTCCTCCCCCCGCGGGGGAATTTCGAAAAATCCCTTCTTAGTGTGCGTTTCCATGAGGTACCCTAACTGTCTACCAAATTTCACCTCTTTAGGTTAAGCGGTTTGCTCTGGGCGATGATGAATCAGTCAGTCAGTGAGTCAGTCAGTCAGTCAGGACAAGCAATTTTATATATTTAGATTATTTGAATACAAATACGCTTCGTAAAAGTATAGTACATATACAGTACAGTATTATAATTACAATTTATCATTAATAATAAAGTTAAACGATAAATTATTAGTTAATAATGAGTAGTTAACTAATGTAATAAACTTAAACAAAGAAATATAATTAATATACTAAAAATAAATACAACTTTTTACGAAGAATAATTCTTTGTTTCAGTCATTTTTTCGTTGTTCACACCATCAGCAGTTCATTAAAAAACACAAATACTCACGGAGACGATCTTCCTTTTTAGGCTACTGCCTCAGTAGTTAAAATGTAAAAAATGATAAAAGCGTCCTCTGGTGCTCTTGCCACAATCACATGATACATTTTAAGTAAAAATCGTTTGCCATGTAAACTTATTTTTTACTTAAAGAAATATAATATTTTTCCAACAATTTTAGGCTTTCTTAAATACTATCTACTATATAGTTGGATAATAAAATAAATTAAACAATGTTCCTTAACAAGATAATATTTCTGTTCTGGGATAACGTAAACATTATTCTAAAATAGAACAACTATTATGAATAATGAAAACAATATTTCTGAAATAAGAAAGTTATTCTATAACAATGGGAAATGCCAACAATAAGCAATTTACAATCTCCCAAAGATTTCAAACCTTATTTTTGTGTTGTAGTTACAATGTTCTGATATATTAAAAAGTTCAACTAAAAAGAAATATCAGAAATATTTCTGTATAATAAAATTTTGAACATTACTAATAAAAAAAATTGTCTAATATTTTCGTCTTCCAAATATATCCGTACTTTACGACATATAAGACGCACCCCATTTCAGTCCAGAATATTTAGGAGAAAAGTATTTAGTGTATTTAAGTCATCCCACACTTTAGCAAACTTCTCTAAAATTGATTTTACTGTATTCTGATTTAAAAATAAAATAATAAAATTAGAGTGCACACTGCTATTTATCAGGAAAAACGAATTTATTAGTGTATGGATGATCGCATCTTCACATGTAAGACGCAGGGCGATTTTTTGTTTTTTTTTCAGACAAAAGTTGCTTCTTATATGCCGTAAAATACGATAATCCATTAATATAATTTTTATAAAAGTTTTTGATATATCTGTAGATACCTTAAGATTTGCTTTCATGAAATAAAAATTAAAAGTAAGAATTCTTTTTTAAATAATATTAGATGAATGTAATCATTTTCTCTTTAAAATCGCATTAAACTTTTTGACGTAGCCTATATTTATTGATATCCGTAACGATTCAGAAAACTTGAAATTAATTGATAATTGTATATAATCCAAAAATCTTATCTTGCGTATTATACTCTTAACTCACCGTTAGTTTTAGAACATTTTTTATAAAAATTTAATATTTATATTTTTAAATTTAAGTGAAGTTAAATAGTTTGTGATTTTTTTTAATATGAAGCACAATAATAAATTTATGAGTAATATTCAAAGTAGAATATTATTGTACAGATGATAAGTATCATTCAGCCTTATAATCGAAAGAAAATGGATATTTAATTACAGTGAGAAAATTATATCAAAATAAAATTTTCATTGATTCTAATCTAAATTCTTAATGACTGTAATAGGAATTTTATACCAATTTTAAATATCTATTAAATTTTATATGCCATATTATTTGCCTTTATTATTTATACTTTTGAATAATATGAAAGAAATACGATTAAATATTTTATTACTTTTCTTATAAACGTATCAAAAGAAACGTTTAGTGTCTGAATCTTCACTTAAAAATAGTAAATTATACTACTCTACAATAATGGACCGGACAACAAGATGTGATGGCATAAAGTAAAGAATACATGCTTTAAAAGGAGGAGGTCCCCACGTGCTGCAATTACACTAGCAACCCTTCTGGGCATACTTTCAATACGGTTTTGATACACAACTATGGGCATTTGTGTCCATTCCTGCTTCAAGAATGTTGCCAGCTCAGCTGCAGGTTTTGGACGTGGTTTGCTGGTCCGTAAGCGTCGCTCTAACTCAGTGTTTCTCAACCTCTAACGAATCGTCGCCCCCTTCAACATAGTATCGTCCCCTTCAGTAAAACCGTTACGTAGTATCGCCCCCTCCACTACAAAATACCGATGCCGAGGGTCAAGACTAACGCCAAATTCGTACTGCATTCAATAGACTAGTGACTAGTATAATGTTATTTGTTTAATTATAGTACGATATAACGAATAAAATATCTAATTATTCTTAATATAAAGTTTTACTATATCGACCAGAAAATTGTTTTTTGGCCCCCAAAATATAAATTGTTACTAATCGCCCCCCTCAACATGGAAAAACGCCCACATGGGGGCGATATCGCCCCCGTTGAGAAACACTGCTCTAACTCGTCCCACAAATGTTTTATTGGGTTTAGGTCGGGACTCTGAGCAGGCTAAGGACGACGGTTGACATCCGTATCATGTTGCAGCCTCTGTCAAGCAGTGGCTTGGCTGAGGCTGCAACATGACATGGAACGAGCATTGTCGTCCCGGAAGTAACATTCGTCCATTCCATAAAATTGCCAGAGCGTAGGAAGAACCTGATTGTCCAAAATGTTCATGTAGGCATAGGCGTTCAATTTATTAGGAACAACATGCAAAGGTCCCAGGCCATACCACGAAAAACACCCCCAAACAAGAACACCATCATCACCGAAATTGAAAGGTGTCCGGTCCATTATTGTAGGACACTGTATGTATATTTTTTATATCAATTAAAATTAATTTAAATAGTATACATAAAAAGAGTAATCTTACTCCAATGGCAGGATTCCACATTTGATTTTTCTTTCGTTAAATCAAGCTTTACGTAAATCCTTCTGTCTTCATTCTTTATATAATAATAATTAATAATATTAAAAATTATTAAAATATGAAAGTAACGAGTAAGAATTATATTTTTAAAAATAATAGAAAACTGACAAAATAATTGAAAATATACTTTAAGTATTAAATTCTTTTATTTACTTTCACTCGTTCCATTGTCAGATGTTCATGAGTTGAGCACTCATCTTCTAAGGCATTGAAAGATTTTTCTCTGATTGAATAATTTATTTGTTTATCGTTATCATGAATACACTGATTAACTGCAAAAAATAATATACATATATACATTTTAAACATATCAATTGTAAATGAGAACATTTCATACAAAATCTAAAAATAAACTTCATAAATTGGATTTCATGTATTTCTTAGATATTTTCTATATATACAGTTCTTTTAAATTATATAATAAAGTTAAATGTTTTTTATTTGTTCCTCTAGCACAAGGAACAAGAATCAAATTGTATCCAAGCTTTAAATGTCATTCAACGTGATAAGATTGACATGCTTTTCGTGCATTAAATTGAATACGTCAAGCATTTGATATTTGTTAAAATCCTCTAACTTAAAAAGTTTTATTGTTTTGAATCTTCGAATTTATTTAAAATATAAAATTTATTTGATTTTCTGATTTATTTCTGGTTTTATATTTATTTAATTAAAAGATAACATCAATTTTTCCGTAAATATTTTAATATGTGAACAATTAACTTAGTATGTAAAAAATTCTATTATATTATCTGTTCGAAAACATCATTTTATATTAAAAATGGTAGAAGGTAAGAATTGTTGCGAATATTTCGGGTTAAGAAGAGTTTTAAATAAATTTATTTGCTCGTAGTCTACAGGCATTGAATGTGCTGTTTTACGATTATGAACACATAAAAAACAATCTATTATTGAATTAAAATAGTTGAAAACCTATTTCAAATATATAAAATAAGCTATTCAAATATTTAACTTTTTTAAAGGGTTCTTCAAATCAAATATATTAATAATAATAATGGATTCATGATTGCCATACAGGATCAAGTCATAAATACCAAAAACTGCAGAAAACACATACTCAAAGATATACTCACAAATGACACATGCTCACAAATGACACATGCAGAAAATGTCACATCATGCCAGAGACTATATAACACATCATCAGCGTTGCCAGATCTGAAGGTTAAAAAGTAGCGTGGTTGTGCTCCAAAAGTAGCGGATTTGAACTGTTTGTAGTCCAAACAATAAAAATGAATTATTTTGCAACTATGCATTTTTACTAATGAAATAAGTTTGTAATATATATATATATATTCGGTGTATCTGCATCAATTTTCTCTAAATCAAAGCTAGTCATTCGCAGGCGAAGCGATTCATTTTTTAAACTTAGAGACTTAGCGACTACGGTTTTTGTTTTCAGTTTTAAGTAGTTATGTGCCGGATCGTTAAAAATGTATATCCGCGGATACGGATACTGATACGGATCTCAGTCGGCGCCGGTGCGTGTAACCTTGGACCGATAGTTGACGCTTTGCGTTAGTAGCGCGACGTGTTTTGACTTGTATTGCGCGTGTTTTTGTTTATAGTTTAGTGCAGCAGTGGCCAATAGTTTTTGCCCCGGGCCGAATTGGAAAGAAAACTTTTTCCACGCGCCGAACCAGAGGCTGCCCTAGGAAGATTTTGAGGCGGTGCGAGATCTCATTGTGGTGTCACCCCGTAGAGACTAAATTGTACACAGAGATTACAGATACATTTTTCACATTATCATGCTTTATCAACATTATCTACGCTGTACTTTAGAGATTTGTAATGGAGGGTTAACTCTAAACGCACAGTGATTTTCTTTTTTAGGCGTCAGAATTTTTCATCGAGCTATTCGGACTTCAGTAGCTAATATTGAAAGATTGATCGTGGGCCATATAAATTCATTAGACGGACCGGATCTGGCCCGCGGGCCGTATGTTGGCCATGCCTGGTTTAGTGTGACACGGGATAGAGTAGATTAGGTTTGTATTATTTTTGGAGAGTGTTGAGTTAAATTAAAATAAAAACAATGTTGACAAAAAAGTTTAGTAATGTAATATGGAAATATTTTACGATAGTAAATGAATTTGCATGATAAAATTTTTGCAATATGAATGTGCCAAATATGTGATTTTAAGAAATAAAAAGTGATTTGAATTGAAGTTATTAGTATTTTACTGCTACCTATTTTTAAAATTTCATATAAGTAATGAAATTCATTAAGATAAAAGATCCGTTAAAGATCCGCTAAAAAGTAACGGATACGGATCTTTTTTCCCTCGGATATCCGCGGATACGGATACGGATATCCGGCACATCACTAGTTTTAAGCCCCCTGTTTCCATTGTATCAAGAACTGTTGTATCAAAACTTAATAACTTTTGGATCACTTGTTGGGAGAGAAAATTGGCAATTCCAACAGGATTGCTGCCATTCATGCATCAAAGTCAATTGAAAATTGATAGTAACGGTGCGAACTCAACAAATATCTAATGTTGCCAGATCTAAAGTTACTAAAACGTAACAAGTTCGATACTCGTTTAATACTTGTTTTAGTACTTAAAAGTACTAAAGAATTAAACGAGTATCGAACATGTTACGTTTTAGTAAAACTATCGTTCATTGCAAATAGAAATATTGAACAAACAAAACATTAAGTAAAATAAAAAATATAAAAACAGGCCGACGGTAATACATTTAATTTCATTACACTTAATTGTATAAATAATTAAATAAAACTTTATTAGTTTTGTATAATACAAGAAATGTGTTGCGATTTTATATNAACGGAAGCAAAGTATCTTTATCTTTGTTAAACGTTGCAACTTTTCATTACACTTAATTGTATAAATAATTAAATAAAACTTTATTAGTTTTGTATAATACAAGAAATGTGTTGCGATTTTATATATGAAAATAAAAAAGTAGCGTATTTTTAAGATTTGTAGCCTGAAGATAATTATCACTAGCCCAAAAAGTAGCGTGTCGCCCAATTTGAAATTTTTGTAGAAAGGGCACTTAAAAAGTAGCCCAATCCGCTACTTGTAGACCAATCTGCAACCCTACACATCACTTCTAGTTTTAAGCTCTTGGCACAGACAAATTATTTACGTAGACATAATCAAGTAATAAATAAATACACCAAGAGCTTGCAAACAAACACAAATTATTAGACATCCAAGAATCATACTACAAATACATTCCACATACAATATTGGAAAACAACACATACAGAATGTACTATGACAGAGCCATAATCACAGATAAAACAATTTACCACAACAGATCAGACATCACACTCATTGACAAACATAATAAAATCACATACATTATAGACATATTCATTCCAAACACTCACAATGTACTGTACAAAACTCTAAAAAAATCAAAAAGTACACAGAACTCTCACAGGAAATAAGGCATCTGTGGAGGATAGATAGAGTACTTATTGTACCTGCAGTTCTCTCCTGTACAGGTGTCATATCACACACACTACATAAAAGCCTGGGAACATTACAATTGAATAGAAACACATACATCACACTACAGAAGGCCACTATATTGAATACATATCATGTTAGGAAATTCCTGAAGAAAGACACACACTGACATACTTATTTAACTTTTGTTTTGTTTTGTTGCCATGCCTTGACTCTGGTCTGGCATAGTAAACAGTCACCAGTGTTAACCAAGTATAACCATTAAACCCAACAAAATAATCTTATAATATAATCGGGATGAGTTGATGATGATAATAATGATAATAATAAGCGCAGAGCCCGAATGGTTAGGATTTGAAAGTTGAAATTTGGAACACAGTGTACGTCATGAACACTACTATTCGAACGCAAATGCGTCGAATTATATCGCAGTTTACAATCGATTGTAATATGTGAATTAATAACGAATAAAGTTAATTTGGAAAAAAATAATTATTATTAAAAAGTAGCTATAAATTTATCTATGAAAATTAAGGAATTGTTTTAATTAACATATATTTTGTGTTATATAATATTAATTAATACAATTCACGACAAGCTTAACCAATATTTTTCTGGATTATTAAATGTAAATGGTGAAAACGTAATTATAAATAAAAGTTTGAAGTTTTAAAATAAATAACATAAATAAATAAATAACAAATAAAAATATACTGTATTCCATTTTGTGATCTGACGACTTGAAAAATATGAATAATTTATAACATGAACATATTTTTAAAAAATTATGCTATTTATGTCAAGCGAGTCTGTTTCGATTTACTTAATTCAGTTAATAAAGACTAATGAAGACTTCCGTAAACAATGAAGAATAATCTATTTTTATATTTTCTTTCCTTTGAAATTAAAATATTTTTTATTATAGCTCAAGTATAGAAATTTATTCTTTCTTTAACCTTGCAAACTAACTTTTCTTTAACCTAAAAGAAGTGATTAAAAATGTGATGATAAACGAAAATTTTATGCTATAATTTTCTCTGATTTTAAATTCTTCATCATATATCGATTTATTTTTCTAATAACAAGACAAAACAATTTACAAAATCTCTAAATTTTATTTGACGCTTAATTTTCAGTCAGAGTTTTAAATTATTTTCTTTATTGATTATTAAAGCTTTTCGGATGTAATCTGGCGATATTTTTTCTTTGCCATTTCAAAATATTAAATTTCGATATTAAACGCTTTTAAACTTTTCTTTCTTGAGATTTTACAATCTGTAAATTTTTGTTAAAATACGTGCATATTGTGAAATTTAAATTATTAATTTAGAAATAATATATTCAATTAATAAGAAAGTTACATTTTGATTATATTTTTCATCAAAATCTAACTTTCATAGTTCTCAATATCCTTCAGCCGAAAAAATCTTGAATGTTTCGTTAGAATGGTTTTTAATATTTGTAAGCATTCTTAAGAGTAACAAAGTATTGTTATATTTTCTGAAACATTATTTAAAATAAATCTGCTTTAAATATTGTTGTATCCTTAAACTTTTACAGTTGATTTATTCTTTAACTCGTTTTAACTGAAGGAAAAGTGACTTATTTTTTCAAACTTACTTATTATTCTTGTTTTAAAATCTAATAAAATAATAAATAAAATATTTTAAAATATTTTTATTAAGTAATAACGAATAATTAAAAGCATATGTTAGAATTACATTATTATGAAGTTAATTATAATAGCTCATTATAATTAACTTTACTTCTTATTATTTCAATTATCAAATTAAATTAATTCAATTACCTAACTAAATATGTAAATTCATTTACAGGATGAAGTTTAATAAATAGCTTTTAAAAATATGTGTTGAGCCGTTATGTAAAAACTACACTATAAGTTAATTTATATATTTATAATTTTATTTCTCTCCTCATTGCGGTTAAATAACTATTTATTTATGTAATTCTAACTGTAATAATAGAAACAACTTTTAATCAAGGTTAAAAGTGGCATTAAATTAAATGAAATCTTAGAAAATATGCTGAAGTAATCCATAGCAATTGGATCAGTCCAGGTCAGATGTTGAAACAATATTGTTTTTCTCACTTACCTTCGATCGATCTGAGACAGCATTTACCCTTGTGAATCAGACAGATCACAACTATCACATTAACTAACACCAGGAGAGTTCCGACAATTGTAACACATATCCACCACCACTTTGAAGTTCCTGATAACTTTTTGCTCTTCTTCCCAGTGACAGGTACTAGAGAATCCATAACTGCTATATCTAGAAAAGAAAACAACAAATTATTTTATATTATGTTACTTTAATTAATAAATATTAAGATTTTCAGATTACTTCCGTTTGTAAATTAATTTATTTTTAAACCGATACAGATTTTAATTGTACTTAAAATTTTATATTGATTCTTTGAGTCATTAAATATACTGTATATATAAATCAAAAAAATATATTCATGTAGATTTAAAATAAAAAAAAAAAATACATAGGTGTTTTGTTTGATTTGAAATATTATTTAAATTTTTTAATAACTTTGTTGATGATTGTTAATACTAGATATTAACAACTATTTTAGCCATTACTTCGCAAATCTGATATACAACAATGTTGGTTAAGTGAAGAATCAGGATGGGGAGAAGCCGAGTTGAACAGATAAAAACATTTTAATGAGGAATTCAATAAAATTCCCAACTTATGTGATGATAAGTAGTATAGAAATAGAAGACACGATACAATATAAATACAGAAATGAATTTTAATTAGGAAAATATTTTTGGAAAATTTTTCAATGTTCTTTTTCCTTTGGACAGTGCTAGGGCTCCTTGGCCACTGCCCACACATGTCACATATCCGTAGTAATTTATGGGAATCTGGATTGAATTCAAATATACTAATTTGAATTAATTTACTTTAATATACAGATATATAATTTAATATAATAGACTATATGTTAATTAATAGAATGCGTATTGTAGATGCGATAATTTAATATTATACCATAATCGTACCCATACCTGTAGTGCTGACTTTTATTTCAGAGGTAAAATTACTATGCCCTACATCATTCCACGCAGAAACAGCAATAAAGTAATCAGTTCCTGGTTTCAAATCGATAATTTTGTGTTGATGTTTCATTGTTGTGGCATCTTGAAAGAAATATTTTTCAACTCCCAGTTGCTTATACCTGATTCGAAAAGAAGGAACGTAGCCACCATCAAAACCTGGTTTCCAGGTAATAAATATGTAGTTGTTACTAACGTTGAATGCTTGTAAATCTACAGGTGTTTCTGGAGGACCTGTCATATGAATTCTTATATTAGAAACACACTTTACAATTATTTGCATTAGGATATAAAATTAAATTATTGTCTTAAATAAAACGAAATTTAATTAGCTGAACAATCTGAGAAAATAAATCTAATGAAATATTTTAGGAAAATAATATTTTATTACTATAATTTTGTGTTATGAAAGAAACAGAATTAGTAAAAAAAATACCTCTTTTTACTAATAAGAATTGAAAAGTGTCTTTTCCTAGGAAGTTAATTGCAATGCAACTGTAATAATCAAAATCCGATTCTTCTAATCTTTTTACTAACAATGTACTTTCCCAAGATGAGTTTTTTACAGAATTTACTAATTCGTATTTGGTACTTTTCTCTATCAACTCTTCTTTGTACGACCAATTAATGGATGTATTTGAAGACGAAGGTGCATCAGCGATGCATCGAAATTTTGCAATGTCTTTCAGATCGCTTGCAACTTTTGATTTCATTTGAAAACGTCGAATTATTGGCCTATCTGGTCATGTAGATGATATAAATTAGCATGCATTTATTTATATCTGAGCATTAATAATTATAAATCGTTTATGTATATATAGAATAAGATTTAAAATAGTATAATAAGTATACAATAAACATTTATATAATACCTTAATTATACATCTTTTTACATTATAACTTTTACAACTAATGTGTTTGAATTATTAAAATTAAGTTATTTATTTATAAGCTACGAAATTACTGAACGTTATAAAAAAATATAAATTGAAAAGTTTGAAAAAGTGTAATAAATACTAAAATCGTAATATTAAGATAAATTAACATTAATTTAGACTGAAAAAGAAATTTATAGCATTTAAAGTTATACGTAACATAATATAAAACTTAAATAAATAATATAAAAATTAGTTTTGCCAGCTCAAACTATTAAAATTAAATGTTTTATTTATAAGTTTTTAATATTTATTCCATATAACTTTAAAGACATCTTAAAAGTTTTATATTTGATAAAATATTTTTTATTAACAGTTTAAACAATGAAAAGATGAAAATCAATATTTTTATAAATGCGTCTTACTTACGTAGTACAGATAATGTGACTGTTTTTATTGATTCTTTTCCCATTCCATTGTTAGCGATACATGAATATTCACCAGAATCATTTCTACTGATATTGTTTATAAGTAAATAAGATTTCTTCCCTTCCAATAGATATTGCATTTGATGAATTCCATTTTTTCTCCAACTGATAACATTTTCGGGTAGTGGATTTCCATCAAACGAACATTCCAACTTAATGCTATCTTCCTCTTTAGCTTCAGTTGATGCCGAAATATTAGTAACTACGGCAGGGTCTGCTGACGTTACAAATATCTTATAAATTTTTGTTTCCATGAGAAAGTTTAGTAAATTTTTACAATAATTTACTTTCTAAATGATTAAAAATTTTAATTACAAAATTTTCTTTTTAATGAAAAATTGTGAATGATCAATTTTTAATAGCTTCTTTCACAGTTTATATATTACGAAAAGAAATAGTCAAAAGAAAGAAACGATATGTACTGTACACACACTATTAATTAATCATTAACCAGATTTCAAAAAGAATACTATGGTACCTTTTTACATTGAAAATCAATTATTATTAAGGGAAAAACCGTGTATCTTTTAATGAAGCAATTATCGACGATGTCAAAAACATTAAGAAACATTTTTATTTAAATTTGAAGCCTTTAAATTATAACAAACATTACAACTAATGGAGAAAGAATTCATTATCCTTTGGTTCTCATGCGAAAATTATACAAATTCTGTCAGAAGATTGACTAACAAATGACAAAAACATAGTATACATCATTAAAATTTTAATGAAATCTGAAGAAAAGTTTACTTAAATACTTTAGATAATGAATTATACTTAAATTTTTTATCATAATGTTTCAGAATTCTTTCAATGAACTTAAATATCCTTCATATTCACGTGATACTTAACGCATGAAAAACAGGATTGTTTGTATTCTAGATCAAAGTTAGAACGAGATAATTATCAAATATTAAATCTGTTTTCTTTATTTTCTTTACATTTAATAGGATATATTCATTTTTATAACGTTCAAGGTTACAATAACTAATCATTAATGTTATGATATTTTATAAAGTTTTCGAATATATAATATACAAATTTATGGTATTATTATTATTATTATGCATGTTATTTATTTCTGGAATATATGATTAATTACAAACGATTATACTAATAAACTGAAATACTTTTTAAAGTACTACAGTTCATCTTTAATTAATGCAAACTTCTCTTATTATGAAGCGATCGAATAAATGCTTTTTAAATAAAATGTTAAAAAATAATTAATGTTTAAAGTTAATAATAAATGCGCAGAGACATTAAAAATAATAGAAATAAATATCTTAGTAATTAATTTCAAAATAACAAATTTCTTAGAAATTATTTACTGTATTTAGAAATTAATAACTGTAGATTATTGATTCTTATTCACATGATAGAATATACGTAAAAAAGTTAATATTATTTTAGAAATATATGTATTTTTGAAAACATAACTAAATATTAAGCAATTTATTAAACTGTAAAATACCAACACAAATATAATGCAGGTTATCGACAAATTACTCACAACGAACATTGAGTATGACTGTTGCATTAGTCGATCCTTCCTGATTTCTGGCTTCACAAGTGTAAATAGAGGAATCGTGCCTGGAAGCGCTTCTAATGTGTAGCACTGATCCTAATGAGGTGACTCGAAGACGATTCTCTTTGTTACTCTTCATCGATTTGTCCTCCGAGGATTTAACAGGAACAGGTGTACCTTCTTTGTACCATATATAAGAAATTACATCGGGATTCCCACGAGCAGTTAAGTTAATTTCAGTAGATTCACCTTCTATTAAGTCTCGTTTCTGGACGATGTTAGTAAACTTTGGTTTATCTAAAGTAAGCAGTGATTTAGTTGGTAGTTATTAAAGTAATGGAAAGAATTCCGTTGTGAAAATAATAAGAACAAAATATTACTTTTAATAATTATATGGCTTAATAGTTTTATTTAATGATATGCTGTTTTCCATACTTTAAAATAATGTCTGCTTAAACTTATAAACAATTTCTTTCAGTATTTAAAAAATATATTAAAGAAAAAAAATAGTAAATTTAGTTTAGTTGAATTATGCTGTATATATACTTTACATTATTCTCAATAAATTACATATTTTAGAGAAATATAAAAACAGACTATTTAACATTTTTTCCTTTTCCTTTCAGTCCAATATATTGATAAATGTGGGTATCTTCCTAAAGCTGTTAAGTGCAGGAACTTCGATCACGTTTTAAGTATCGATCAGAATTTCGAAAGATATAAAGCAAATGCTTTTCGTTTTATCGATGCTATTCGAATCAATATATATATATATATCTTCTTATAAACTTTCTTCTTTGGAATTGTTTCATTTTAGCATTCATTAGTAGCTAGCATTATTTAATAGTAGAAATTAACGTTTTCTATGAGGGAAGTATTATACAGAAATTAAAAATACTTTAATACTAATATTATTTATAGTTTCTTCTGTGTTTACGAAATTGTTGAAGACTGATCTCTGAAAATTAACGTCCAAAACAAAATCTATACTTATCTAACGAAAGCAAGAAACATAAAGACTCAGACAGAAAAAAATGTGCCTAGTTGAAGTTGGACAGATCACACTAGACTAGATGGTTAGACATCTAGTGTCTTTGCATTCAGTTCTTACCCAAAGTTAAACACTTTTATTTATCTAAGTTTTGATTTCTTTTTTCAAGTGAACAAACGTATTATGTACTAAGATTTATATCCGTGGTTTACTTTATTTATTGAATTTAATTTGACATATAGAAATTATCACAGAATTATTAAATAAAATTTACTTACATAATACTCTCAAAATCAATTGCGCCTCTACTGCATTTGGAAAGACATTAGATTTTGCTTGACATACGAAACGAATTCCGTCATCTGATGGTTTTACCACAAATACGATCATACTTTTCACGGATAATCCCCCATGACTGGCATTAAATATCTCTTCGTAATATTCTACTTCAGTTCTATTATTTCGTAGCCACATAACTTCTGGTTTAGGATTACAACTACCAGTTTGACACGATATCGTCACCTAGATTATAAACAATAAAGTTTTAAGTAAAGAATTGTATTGCAAGTATGTCAATTTAAATATATGTTGATTTTAAGTTATGTACTGTTATTCAAGAAAATAAACGTATTTTATTATGAAATTAAAAAATTTCGTTCAAAAGCAAACAAAAAGCGAGATATAGGAGAATCTTGAAAGTTATTATGAAACTAATTACTATAAATAAATTTCATTTTATTAAGTGTAAACCTACTTGAACTACAAAAGTCCAACATTTTTAGCTATTTAGAAAGAATTAAGATAATTTTAATGAAATAAAACTTAAACTTAACCATTGTTTTAAATTATAAGTCATTTCTTGATTAAAATCATTAGATTATAGGAACTTATTTCAAGTAAACCGAAAAAAATACTTTCACTATTTTCTTCATTTTGCTATTCATTTATAATATTCAATAATCTTAGTAATAATAATAATAATAATAAAGCAATTCTATTGAATATCAATAATTTTATTATTTTTCAATATCTAAGTTTTCTTATTTTTTAAATTTTAGAAATAATATCAAAATTGATTTTACACTATTTCAAAACATAATTTAAATTCTATTCAGTAACAAAAGCTAAATAAATAAAACAGATAATTGAATTATAAATTATTTGTCAAAGTTGAACAATTTTCTTTCAATAACAACATTTTTCATTAAATTTTCTCTACTTTTGGAGTGATAAAAGGTACAAAAAGTAACGAAAACTATAATTTGTGTGTTACTATTTTTAGTATATTTAAAAAGTATTCGTTAAGAATCTTAATTTTATTTTATAAAACCAGATTTACTTTAAAATATTATTTATTTTATAATTTCAATAAAATAATTTATTCATAAAAATACGTTCTTACTGTTTGACTTTCTTTGGGATTTTGTGGATTAATCGAAAGTAATAATTTTTCTGCTGTAACTGAAATATAAAATAATATTAATATGAATACAAAATTCCATCAGATCACAGGCATATATAAAAATAATTTTTTAAATTTTGAAATAAAAGTATTTTAAAAGTTGTAAATATTATTGCATATATAATTGATCTAATTATACTGTATATATTACGTGATATATGACAAATATCAAGAATGTATTAATATTAAATAATATATAAATAATTTCATAAATTTCAAAACTTTAAAAGATGATTTTTACTAAGTTTAGAATAGATTGATATTTTTTGTAAAAATAATTGTGACTCGAAGACG